ATGAGTAGCTACGCGCTCACGGCGACCCCACCCCACGACCACCTCCACCACGTGACCAACGGCGCCAACAGCATCGCCAACAGCGGCGGCAACGGCAACTTCTACTACCCGTTCGCCCCCAGCTTCGACAAGCTGCACCACGCCTACCAACAGGCCAACCTCCTTGGCTACAGCGGCAAGCCCAGCTTCTCCGTCACCCACCTGCTGGACATCAAGAAGAACAGTTGCAGCCTTAACGATGACCCCGATGACGAGGAAGGCGAGGAGAGCGACGACAACATTGACAGTAAACCTTGTATGATGAACATCAGCGGGCAGGGGAATCCCGGAAATATTCAAAACCCGCATATGTTCTCCGGAATGGAAACCGGAAATTCTCTTTCAATGGGGCAAAATCTCCATCATTACCATAACAACAACAATAATAATAATAATAATTCGTCGTATCCGGATATGGGGTCGCAGTCCCCACGGGATCATACGGGGATGCCTAAAGTGACGCCCCCTAGCCCGCGGGGCGGTAGGACGCCGGAGGAGACGCCCAATATGTTGATACACACGGAGAAGTTTCTGCCCGGGGTGAGCAGAGGGGATATGAGCGGCCATGATGACAACAACAATGGTGAGTATGTGGTTTGGTGTCTATATGTTGTCAATATGTTGTCAATATGTTGTCGATATGTTGTCGATATGTTGTCAATATGTTGTCAATATGTTGTCAATATGTTGTCAATATGGTGTCAATATGTTGTCGATATGTTGTCAATATGTTGTCAATATGTTGTCGATATGTTGTCAATATGTTGTCAACATGTTGTCGATATGTTGTCAAGATGTTGTCAAGATGTTGTCAATATGTTGTCAATATGTTGTCATTGTTAAACCCTGTATGTGTACATGGTACAACTTTGTTTATAAGGGAGGGGGGTGAGAACTATCTTCACAACTTTCGTGACAACTTCAATGATTGGTTTCGTGACAAATGTCTTGATTGGTTTCTTGACAAATGTCTTGATTGGTTTCTTGGGAACTCTCTGCTCAAGTTCATTGATAGGTTTCTTGACAACATTCTTGACAAATGCTATGAGAGGTCTTTTCACAACTTTCTTGACAACTTTATTAATAGATTTTTTTGACTGCTACTTGACAATGCCATGGACAGGTTTCTCGCTAATTTTCTGGACAAGTTCATTTGTAGGATTCACGACAACGTTCTTGACTAATGCAATGACAGTTTTTTTTAAAATAACTTTCTTTAGCAGCTTTATTAATAGATTTCTTGACTGCTTACCTAACAATTTCATAGATAGTATTCTTGAAAACATTCTAGGAAACTTCGTTGACACGGGTTTCATGACAACTTTCTTGACAAGTTTCATGAGAAAGTTCTTGATAAATTCATTGGTAGATTCTTGATTACTTTCTAGACAACTTCGTTTACAAGTTTCTTGACATCTTCTAGATCACATTATTTACAACTTCAATATTTAAGTTGTCATTTTAAATAAACCATTTTAATAGTAAATACACACAAAAACTACATTACATTACACTTTCAATACTTTTTACTTGATTTACGGTAAGAATAGTTACAAATAAACTAGTATGCTTTGTACTTAAGACATTTTTATTTCAGACAAAATGTACTTATTTGGTTTAATTCTATGCAAAGTTTTACCCTCCGATCCCTTGTCTACCCCCACCCCCAACCCTACGCCCCCACAGACCTCACCCCTACACCCCCAGGGCTATCACCCCCACCCCCACATTATGTTAGCATCCGGCCATGGTATAGATATAGCCCATTAAAAAACCCTATGTTTAGCCAGCTCACGCGTTGAGGTGTTTTATTTTCTACCCCATCTTCGTGCTCACCACTGTTGGCACGTCTTGAGGTTCAAAGGTTAATTGGCTGGACCCAGACTTAATTAACATTCAGGACATCCGATATTGGGGTTTCGAAAAAAAAAGTGTCTTCGCCGGCACTTTTATTTATTTTGGGGCACCGATATAACACTCAATTTTAATACTCATATTTTTAAATTTAAAGACAATCACTGATTTTCCGAACACTATTCATCTCAGCTAAACATTTATAAATATAATAATTAATAGGCCTACCTGCTGATTAAAATGTACTCATCACTGTGTAAACTCAAAGCCATTTGTAACATTACAAATGTAAAGCCAAAGCTACCAATCATTCCGTCAAATGATCAAAAGGAAAGAAGTCATCGATAAAAAATATACAATAGCAACAATAGTAATAACAAAATAATTTCCAGGAATTATAATAGTGAAAGCTTTGATCGTTCAAGGACACATTGAATTTGAGTGAAATGATTCAACATTAAATTAAATACATAATTAGCAACGCAATAACACAATGTGTTAGGGCTAATTAAAATTTTTATTTTAATATAATTAGTAATAGTGCTGCAAGCTTAGTAACTGTTAGACAAAAAAACTGTTAAGAATATTTAAAATGAATTAAAATCTGTTAGCAAAAATGTATTACTTGATTCTTAAAGGTTATTTTCTTAACTTACTAAATGATCCGAAGAAAATTAATTGATCGTTGTAATAGTGGATTATAAAAAACAACGAAAATAATAATAATAATAATAATAATAATAATAATAATAATAATAATAATAATAATAATAATAATAATAATAATAATAATAATAATAATAATAATAATAATAATAATAATAATAATAATAATAATAATAGTAATAACAATAATAATGATATAATAATAATAATAACAATAATAACAATAATAACAATAATAACAATAATAACAAGAATAACAATAATAATGATATAATAATAATAATAATAATAATAATAATAATAATAACGATAATAATAATAATAACAATAATAATAATAACGATAATAATAATAACAACAATAATTATAATAATGATCATGATAATAAGAAATTATTATTATTATCATTATTAATGATAATATTTATTTGCCCTTTAATAAAATTACAAGAAACACATGGAATGCTTTTGCTGATGAACCGAACTCAATTTTAGTTCAACAGTTTCAGTAAATGTATTTAAATGTTTGAAAGGGTTAATTGAACATTATACTTTCGCGGAGTCGAACCACAGGTTGATGCACATAGATTACTTGTACGTGCAGTCTACCGCTCGAACATACCAACAAAAGCGAATTGCATTAGTCTATAACGTAAAACCTCTTGTTTATGAAGATTCCATAAATGTGGTAGTACCGGACACATTGGTATAACACCCCCCCCCCCACCCCCGTTAAATGTACTGTTAGAGTCAACATTTTTGACTAGCTTCCTCCCCAACACTATTTTTGTATTAAATCGACATAAATTTTGACACCACTTGCGCATGCGCTAAAAAAAAGCAATAAATACGAAAAACTTAAAATCCCCCCCCCTCCTCCCGATCAAAATGCCATTTAAAACCACCTTCTAAATTATATATCCATGATTTTTTAAATAGCGATTTAAAAATATTGTTTAAATATACTTTTTTTTCTGTTTTGGGGCCAAAAGTTGAATTAGAGGTTTTTTTTTCCTCACTCAGCGGGATTTCCAATCCAAGTTTTATTCTAATTCAACAGGGGGGCTAATTTGCCGACTATCGTATATATATATATAATGTACGTGCTACTCACACTCCAGCCCCCCCCCTCCCCCAACCCATCCTCTTGATGATGCTTAAGGACGGGGGATAATAAAACTGATAGCCGGAGTCGCTTCTTTTCCTTTCGGCGTTGTCCCTTATCTATAATGGCGGTCGGGTCTTATCGGGGAATGGAAGCGGGCACAATAACTTAGGCTTTTGATGAAGGCAGGGCGGAAACCGGAGTCAGTCTTGTTGGAGATAAAGGGGTGGGGGTGGGGGTTGAGGGGGAGGGGGGCTAGACCGTACACCTGTTACCGTGGGTCTTGAAGGCGGAGATTTCAACGGGGAAAAGATGACGTCAGCGGTGTTTGGTGACCCTGGTATCACCATTATCGCTACCCCCACATGTCACCCTATGTCAGTACTAAAATCACCATACAGTTGTTTGTTTTTATACAGTTTTATTTTTATCAACATGATAATTTTATGTTGAATAGTTTTCACAGTTTATCCAATTTTTTACGGGTTTGAGAGAGAAGTCTATATGAATGGAAAAAAATGTTTGAAAAGGTGGGCTAGACGTAGTTTTAGTTAAAACTTGCAGACATGCCACTTGAAATAGACATCGTTAAGTTAACACAATGTGGCACCCGCTGATCTGGAGAGTGGAGACCACAGTCCAGTTCATACACGAAGTTGGGCTTGTTGTTTAAATCAGGGGTCTCCAAACTACGGCGAGGTAATCTCATCCGGCCCGCTGAGATATTTTTGTCCAAGGAAAAATCGTTTGTTCGTGATTGCTGAGGAACTTTGCCCAGAAAAATTAAAGACATGCCTGGAAGAAACTGGCCCCCGAACTGAAATTTGATAGTTAATGCGGCCTTCACTGACGCTAGATGGCCAATAATATGGGCTCTTCAGTAAAGGACGTCAAGCCTTTAAAATGAATTCCTTTCCCGGTTTTTATCAACACATCTCGCTACAAGATGCTAGACCCGTTACATCAGAGGCGTAGCGAGGGCGGGGCGGGGGGGGGGGGGGGGGAGGGGGGAGGGAGGGGGGTGCGCACCATTTAGGGGGGTGAGACCATGGCGAAAAAAAGCAAAATGTCTAGAAGACAAATGTTTTTTTGCCTGTCCATTAATATTTAATTAAAGTTAAATAGTCTTTTAAGTACAAATTGACAATTATTACAAGGTGACTCTAGAGAAAATAGTGCTACATCAAACAGACCATAGATAAACACTGTTACTATTGTGTCTGCAGTGATTAAAGCTTATGCACATACATGTACGCGTTTGTGAGATGAAAAAAGCAGGGAGTCAAAAGTTTGACAACATTTTGACTTTGACCAATGGTCGAATCTTACAATCTGATTTTGACCAGGGGTCTAATATTACAATCTGATTTTGACCAATTTTTAACAAGAGTTTCTACCAAACTTGTAGACATATGTATATCTACAATGCCAGCCCCAGAATATATATTTTTTTAATGAGACATTATACGTCATAAAAACTAATAAAAACAAAAGGAAAATAATATGTTGGAAATCTTGTCATCACTTGTTTTAGCGACGAATGTTGGTACTATTAAAGCTGAATAAATTATGTTTATTTTGCACATTTTTAGGACATTTAACAGCATTTTACCTTAAGGTTTATTTTTTTTTACATAGCGCATATACTTTGCTCATGTACTTGTCGTTTGACTAAGTTGTGTTGAGTAGGTTTGAAAATTTAGTAACAAATAGTTTTGTTATCTCTATTTAAGATTTAGATCTATTTTTTGTTTAAAATTTACCGCTATTAATTTAATTATGTTAAAATTAAACCTATAAAAATGAAATTTATTTTGTAAATTATTACAGTAATTATTATTATTTTTTTGGGTTAGAATTCAATTCTAATTATTAATGTTTTTTTTTAAAATGTTATTAACACTGATCTTAACAAAAATATTTTCAGTTTAGAAAATGAAATGTTTAAGGAATAGCATTTACAAAAAACAACAACACAAAAATAAATAAATTCCAGAACAAATGATTATACATTTGATGTGAGTACGTATATAATATCGACTTGTACAGATCCTTAAAGGTGTTTGGTGAATTGGGCTGAGGAAATTAAAGTACGTGCTCTCAATAATCTTCCTTTAATTTGTCACACATAATGCCCCTCCCTCTCACATCTCTCCCCCCCCCCACCCATCCATTTGCGTAACCGACCTAGCGCAACATAAATTCTGTGTCAGTGTGGTTCTTATTTGTAGTAGCTACACATACTTCCCGTGTAGTAGTTACACACTTTATGTGTAGTAGTTACACACTTCATGTGTAGTAGTTACACACTTCATGTGTAGTACTTAAACACTTCCTGTGTACTAGTTACACACTTCATGTGTAGTAGTTACACACTTCATGTGCTGTAGTTACACTTCATGTGTAGTAGTTACACTCTTCATGTGTAGTAGTTACACTTCATGTGTAGTAGTTACACACTTCATGTGTAGTAGTTACACTTCATGTGTAGTAGCTACACTTCCTGTGTAGTAGTTACACTTCGTGTGTAGTAGTTACACTTCCTGTGTAGTAGTTACACACTTCATGTGTAGTAGCTACACACTTCATGTGTAGTAGTTACACTTCATGTGTAGTAGCTACACTTCCTGTGTAGTAGTTACACTTCATGTGTAGTAGTTACACTTCGTGTGTAGTAGTTACACTTCGTGTGTAGTAGCTACACACTTCATGTGTAGCATTTACACATTTCATGTGTAGTAGTTACACACTTC